GTCATAGCTCTCATTTTTAAAGTGTGGCCTTTTTCTTGTTGTTCAACTGAATGCCTTAAGTGCTCAATGAGGTCTCTTCCTTCTGGTACTTCAACATCTTCCAGTACTATAGGTCCTCTGGTATTTCCATTTAACACTTGGTCTTGAAGCATGCAATCTCTGGTAGGCCTTGTGGAGTTTCTCTTCTCATGTACATCACTCAGACCTTGGCCGAGAATCTGTGGCAAATCTCTATGCAGACTTCTCCCCCACTTTATCTTTATACAGTTACTTTTCCTTTGGCCACCTTCCCTATATATTACAGGTCCTTCTGCACCCTGGCAGTCTGATCTCTGCCTCTTCAGCTTAAAATGATGAACTGGGCTCTACCTCCCTAAAATGGGACAGGAAATAATCCCAGGAAAAAAACTTTAACTATTATAGGACTTACCATGTGTATTTTCCTTCTCTAAAGGAACCCAGTCCTGCTCTGATCATTGTTCAATACCTAAAAACATTTGTCTCATATATATTGTCCACTTAACATTGTTTATGGAGGGAAGGCAGGTCCAGTACCAGTAACTGTCACTGCTGAATAAAAAAATCCTTGGGTTTATACTTAATTTTCACAAAGCCTAGTGAGGTAGTTCTTGTAAAGTAGTTACTATTAATATAATTCAATTTTACAGAGAAATAAACTCAGACTAATTAGTGAGTGGAGGACTCAGAATTTGGACCCAGGCAGTCTGATTACAGACCCTGTGCTCTGATTCAATATACTGTGCTGTCTCTGCAGCAAGAAATTATGTTTATTTCCTTTACTACAATTCTCACACTCTTTATTTATCTCATATATGTATTCATATTTATTTATTTACTGTACTTTTGTTTGCTGCCTTTCCTACTGGTATCTAAATACCATCTTTTTTCTATTTACAATTGTTACCCAGCTACCTAACACAGGGACAGGCTCTCAGTGGGTATTCCATAAATATTTATTAAATGAATGAAGAATGCACATTCTACCATTATAAAAAAAAATTTTAAATAGGATTTTTTTTTCCATATATTTGCAACTTCAGACTTCTTCTTGTCTACCACCTTGTGGCATCAAAATTCTGCAACACACACACACACACACACACACACAAACTAGAGTTGAGGAATATACAAAGAAGCATCATTAGAATCTTTACAATTATGTAGAATGTAATTATATGATAGGAAAATAGTTATAGCAGGATTTTAACTCTTGGTAAAACAGCGGTAATTAGGAATCAGTCTTTGGAGTGCTTAAAACACCTACTGATAAACAATGGTACTAATTTGATAAAGTCAGTAAAGAATCCATGTGTCCCTTTGACTGAGTCCTTTTGGTGAGTCTGGATATTACTTTTGGTTGAAGTGAAAAATAATATCCATTTTTGTCACTTGGTGTTTTGGTTACCTAGTGCCACTCAGACAGGAATATACCACAAATGGGATGGCTTTAACAAGCAGGAGTTTATTCTCTTACAGTTTGGAGTGCCAGGCTCTAGGGGCTGGGTGAAAGCCTCTTGACCTTGGCCTTCAGCTCTGCCTCTTGCTCCTGGCCCACTGAAGCTGGAGGCTTTTCTTCACTCAGCCAACAGCTGGCTGCTGAGATTGAAAAATCTAAGTTTGACAAGTGAAAAGGCACATTTCCGATATCACCAAACAACATGGCAGGTCACTGATTCAAGTCCAGAAAAAGTCCCAAGATTGGCAGGACATGGCAGGCTGTTGAACAACAACTCAGCTACATGCAGGGTTTGAGTGTGCCATAAGCTGGAGACCTTCCTCAAAGTTGCTTCTTATAGACTGGAAGCAGCCCACAGCCCTAAAGCAACTACTCAGCTGCTCTAATAGATTCTACCATGGAGTTAATTACCAGTCTCACCATGGGGAATAACCACACCCAGCTGCCCAGCCACTCAACCAGGCCTAGCCAAGTTGACACACAAACTTAACTACCACACTTGGTATATGCTATTAGAGAAAAAACAACAAAAGAAAAGCCTGTTGTGGTAATCGTTGCCTCTAGAGCCCTTTGTATCACTCCTTATCAAAATATATATTTGTTGGACTTAAAGCCATAGAGTTATGGTTCTCATCATGTTCTATATGACAAAACAATATTCATTTACTTTTATCAGAAGCAAAATTATATGATGGTTTGTAGGCTAATTTTTGTGCTAACAAAGTCTCCTAAATATATGCAGTAGACCTCACATTTACATAAAATTAAAGAAAGGATGCTTCAGCAAATGCAAATAAATGCAAAAAAGGAATATTATAATTTTGAGCCAGGATTAGTATCAAGCACCCAATGTGGTAATAATACAAAAGCAAAACCCTGTATGCAGTGTATAGCTTAATATAAGCTATTTATAGACAGAGTATCTTAGTAATTCATTTATTTATTTTGAAAAATATATTTATTGATTATATTTCAGACTGTTTTCAAATCAGGGATCTTTATATTAGGATCATATGTACTGATTTCCACAGTTCTGTAATACGACAAGCCCAATAAAATGATTTATTTCATCTTGTGTATCATTAATTGTATGAATTGACAGTTTAACCTCTGTGGATTTGCATTTCTTTCTTAATGTTCAACTTAGAAACAGAAGTAAAAATTACTTTACAGTAGGAAAACAGGGTATAAAAGTTAATCCTAACATAATAAGGAAAATCATTTTAATATTCACCATTATGTATCTGCCCCTTGGTAATTTTCAAGGTCTTGAAAGATCACTCTTTGTTTAAAAATATAAGTTTTCTCAGTCTAAACAGTGAGCCTATTGAAGCTAATCTTTCATTCTCAGGATTTGTAACATTTTATCATCCCTATGTTTGGATTATAGTGAAATATATGGATTTGTCATTCACACTATTTATTTTTGAAAAAATGTACTGAATATTGATGTGACACTAGAATCTTTTATAATTAGAAATTATTAGAAAACCTATCAAGCACTCTGATATCCAGGCTATATTTCCTTGAAATATAGGCCATATTGGTGCTTCATTTTGCATGTCACAGAGAAGGTGATGTATAATTACTTTTAGTCATCTCATTTCATTATTGTTTACATATGCCTATAGATTTTTTCTGAACTAGTTCCAATTTCAAATATTTTTTTCATTGTGCTCAAAAGTTACTCAAGTATTCCAGAAATTCCAATATTTTGACATCCTAAAATACATGTTTGGGCAATCCTACTTCTGTAGTGATACTGCTTTGGAAACCCAAGGAGGGGTCGCTATGAGTCGGGGTCGACTTGACGGCACATAACAACAACAACAAAATACATGTTATATTTCCAAATATTGCTTCTTTCAAATGGAAATGGAGAAAAATTCTTTGACAGACCATATGTCCTGATATTGGTTTTATAAACTATTATTGTATAAAATGCTTCTAGATTGCAGGTACAGAGAGTAGACTTTTCTTCTGGTGTTGGAGGAAATCTGCCTTTAGGTTCTGTAGTTTTCTTAAGCAGGAGAATTTCTCTCAAGCACATTATCTTGTAAATTTCAATGTGGTTTCACTGTCTGCAGGTCCTTGATGTCAAGCTTAAACCCACTATTACTCTCCTTAGGGCTGAGATGAATCTTGGTAGAACTTTTATATCCTAGTGGATGTGGGGTTGTAAATTACTTTTATCATGCTGGCAGATCTCTTGCTTACATGTTGTTGTTGTTGTTATGTGCCCTCGAGTCAGCCCTGACTCATAGCGACCCCTCCTTGGGTTTCCAAGGCAGTATCACTACAAAAGTAGGATTGCCCAACCTTACTTCCAAGGAGTGGCTGGTGTGTTTGAACCGCCAGCCTTCTGGTTAGCAGTCAAGTGCCTTAGGCACTATGCTACCAGAGCTCCTAATAATGGGTCCTAATCTAACCGATAATTACATTTCCTACTGGTTATTAACAAAGCAGGCAATATGTCTTCATGTTGATATTATCTTTGCCATTGCATCCAAAAGAAGTACAGGACATGAGATCAAAAAATGGACAGTACAAAATTTCTAGATAAATTCCTCTAAATCAGGAGAGGAGAGTTAGAGGCATCGTAACGTGGAAGAGTTATTTGAGAGGTGTTCTGTAATTATATTTGCTGTAGCTTAAAACTGATTGTTACCTGTGATGAGAACAAACCAAGATAGATATGTTTTTATAGAAAAAATGATAGACTTGAGTAACTCTGAGGGTTCTAGGAAGTCAGGAGAGAATGTAATGAGACAGAGTTCTGAGAAGAGATAGAAATAAGACAAAGAAAACTTTAAGAACACAGAAAAAAAAAAAAAATGTTTTCCACCTTTGAACAGCACAACATCCATCACTCAGAGCACTCTTTGAATCAGTTATGACGTCACCAAGTAGGCCACAAACTTTCATGTTTTTGTTCATGCTTCAGTCAGAATTCCCTTCTACTTTTGATCTCTTCTGCCATTTTAGAAAATCTCTATAGCCTTCAATACCATGTCCCTTACTTACCTTATTCTCACCTGCCTTCTTCCTGCAGCACTTTGACACTATAGTTATCTGCCTTTTTATCTTGCCCTATAGTCTGACTACTTGTTCTGTGTCTATTTCTTTCATTAAGTTCTGTGATCCCCTTTGTGGTCTCCATATTTTTCTAGCTTGACATAAATCAAGTAGCAAACAAATGATTTTTGTTTCTTCTTTACATTTAAATGAAATGGAAGCTGATCCCTACAGGTTCAAATAAAACCCTCTGCTTGGATGGATAGTACTACTAACTCATGGTTATTAACAAACAAACAAAACAAAACAAACAAGTTGTGGTCAAGTTGACTCCAACTCATGGTGACCCCATGTGTTTCAGAGTAGAATTTTGGGAAGCAGATTGCTACGCCTTTCTTCCGAGGTGCCCTGGGTGCATTTGAATCTCAAGCTTTTGGTTAGTAGCTGGGTGCTTAGCTCTTTACACCACCCAGGAACTCCTCTTGTGGATTTTAATATTTTCTATTACCTGTGTGCATGATTCAGAGCAAGGTCAGGTTTCCTCATTCGTAGATAGCATGTCACAAGCTTTGTCTCGATGAAACTTGCCACACTTGATATATTTTCAGCAGATGCTTCAAATGGCTTTCCCAGAGCTGCCCCTTTGCTGCAAAGCTTTAAAAAATACAATACTTTAAATTTCCTAATATTTTTGGCACTTAATTTATCTTCTAAATAGGCAAAACATATATATGTATGCATATTCTTTCTAAACTGCAGATAAAATATTAATATTTTGATTATAAATTAAATAAATAGCTTCTGCTCACTATTATATAACCATAATATAAAACAAGTAACATGTTTTACTGTAAAATGTTTCCTGTACATTATTTTTAAAAGTATAATGATAGATTTTAAAGGAGTGCCATTTGCTAAGAATGTCTATTTTAAAAATAAAGCACACAGTAAGCAAAGATATTAACAGAAAACCAAGTATAAATCTTATTAAATACCAGTGCTTTTATGAAAACCCAGCTGAGCGATGATCTAGCACACTATCAAGTTTGATTTAATATAATAAGGGGTATTGGAAGTAAACTCCTAGGAGCCATTAACATGATCGGTGATTAATTTGAGTCTGAATCATATTCTCTGGGATGTTATTGAAAGGAAAGAAGTGAAAATTTATTAGAATTTATTGGCAGAGGCCACAGTATCTGAAAAACATGGCAAGAATGTGGAATTCTTAATAAAAATTCCAGGAAGTCAGTGGTTTCTGAGCATCATAGATAAACTGGAGAGGAAGAAAATAAATTTCTGGGACAACCCCAAACATTAAGGGTCAATATATGACAAGCAAAGATCAGTCCTTTTTTCCCCTCTGCATTTTCTAATGTGTCTTGAATTTAAGGCTAATGGGGCAGGAGAAACCTCACCTTCTGTTTAGTGACCTTATTTGGTATATCCACTTCCTTTGTTCTTTTTTTTTCTCTCTTTGTGCATACATCGGCGGAAGGGGGATTTTCTCACAGGGGATAATAATATGTGGAATTAATACCTATTTATATATACATTAACATAAACCTGATTGTAATCTGAATCCTCCTTGTTTAAATGCCACAATTTAAACTAATTTTTCTTTTATTTCATTAATTCTTGAGACTGGCATAACATTTATATTAGTATCATTGTCAATTATTATTACTTTTTTAAAGCTCAATTTTGTTATTTAAGAATGACTAGACTGATAGCCAGAAGACTGGGGGTTCAAACCCACCAGCCACTCCTCGGAAAAAAGACTGGGCAAGCTACTTCCATAGAGTTATATCGCCTCAGAAACACAAGGAGGAGTTGCTAGGGGTCAGATTTGACTGGATGGCAGTGAATTTGTGCTTTTTTTTTTTTTTTTTTTTTTAAGTATATTTTATTTGGAAGGAGCCCTAATAGCATAATTGTTCAGCACTCAGCTGCTAACTGAAAGGTTGGTGGTTGTAACTTGTGCAGAAGGTCTTCAGGAGAAAGACTTGGTAACCTGCTTCCATAAAGGTCACAGCCTTGGAAACCCTATAGAGAAGTTCTACTCTGTCCTATCAGGTCACTATGAATTGGAATTGACTCGAAACAGTGGGTTTGAGTTTTTTACATTCTGTTCCAAAATGTATTTCCTTTCTTAATTTTACCCAGAAAGTATAAGTCAAAAAAAAAAATTACAATGTGAACACTTAATATCCCCTAGTTGAATTGGGAGCTCTGGTAGCATAGTGCCTAAGGCATTTGACTGCTAACCAGAAGGCTGGCAGTGCAAACCCACCAGCCACTTCTTGGAAGGAAGATGGGGCAATCTACTTCCGTAGTGATACTGCTTCGGCAACCCAAGGAGGGGTCGCTATGAGTCGGGTCCGACTCAACGGCAAATAACAACAAGTTGAATTGTGACGGCACTTAACAACAGTTGAATTGTTAGTTGCCTGATGATATCATCTGTTGCTTGAATTCTGTAGGTCTAATTATTTTTAATACTTTTTACCAATTTTATGGGTGAGAACTGGTACTTCAGTCATCCAGTCAACCCATTACTATTTGCTATTATTTGTCAAACAAAAACTGTCACTTTCATATGTTAATTTGTATTAAATAGACATTTTTTCTAATTTTGGCTATTTTTAATTTTACTGCAAATACCTGTTTTCTATTTCTTGCCAGTTTTCATTGATAGTTTTTAAAATTAATTTTAAGAGTTCTTCAGATATATAAACTATTAACCATTTTCCTGTCAAAATTCTATATACATATTCAAATGCCCCAAAGTATCCTACAGACATGAAATTGCCAACTTTTATTCATATTCTTATAAAGGCTCTCAGAGTATGTACAGTGTATATAGTATGTTTGGTTGTTGTGTTGTTATGTGTCGTCAAGTCTGCCCCGACTCATAGTGACCCCTCCTTGGGTTTCTGAGGCAGTATCACAATCTACAGAAGTAGACTGCCCAACCTTCCTTCCGAGGAGTGGCTGTTGGGTTTGCACCACCAGTCTTCTGGTTTGCAGTCAAGCACCTTAGACATTATGCTACCAGAGCTCTGTATAATAAGTAGTATATGCTAAATGCTATCTACAGGCCTACCTTGAAGATTTTGTGGGTGTGGTTTCAGACCACTGAAATAAAGTGAATATTGCAATAAAGAAGTCACACGAATTTTTTGGTTTTCAATGCATATAAAAGTTATATTTACACTACACTGTAATCTAGTAAGTATACAATAGCATTATGAAAAAGCTTGAAATGTTGTGAAAATTATCGAAATGTGACATAGAGACACAAAGTGAGCAAACATTGTTGGTTATTGATACCAACAGACTTGCTTGATGCAGGGTTGCCACAAACCTTCAATTTTTAAAAAAAGCAGTATCTGTGAAATGCAATAAAATGAAGTGCAATAAGATGAATTATGCCTGTGTAAAGATTTTCAATTATTTTGGAAAGAAAAAAAAAAGACTTTTTGTAACGTGGAAATTACAATGAAAACTACCTCCATCAATGCTAAGTTTGGATACTTTCATAAAGATCAACTGGTAACATTTATAATAAAGGAATCAAAACATTTAATACAGATTTAGTGATTATCCCTGAGAATCTGTCTTTACAAAGGTTAAGGTGGTTGCAAACGAACCTTAAAAAATAATTTTAAAAAAGTTTTGTATTATGAATATGTCAATTTAGGACTGCATTACCTCTTTTCTCTCAAACCGCAGCAGAGCCAGAAATATCTAAACAGTGCAATTCCAGGAAAAAAAAAAAAAAAAAGCTTTTGTCCGGTATAACTCTTTACAAAGCCAGATTCAATAGAAAATAAAACGGGTAGAAACTGTGTAGTTTTATTTATTTATATCTCATAGTAGTAAAATTCTGGACTTACTTAATTTTATCTTATAAGTGAAATAAGCATCCCTCCCTCAAATTTTAAATACCCCAAGTTGAAGAGTCCACCTCTTATGGAATCTTCACATAAGCTCTTAAAACAAAGATGAAATAAACAAGTAAAACATTGTGTGCCATCTTTGCCTTTCCTATGTGTGTTATTCTCCAACATTATGGTATGGACAGCTTCCTTTGTAAGGCACACATTCTGTGGGTTGAATGCAGAGACCATTTGAGGACTAGCTTCCAGGAAGACATTCAGATCTTTCATGGCAGGAGGAAGCTGACCTTAAGGTTTCATAATAATAAAGGTTTTAGCTATGAACAGCAAGAGAGACTGAAGAATAAATGGCTGATCTTCTAATGTCTGTAATATTTTCTACTTGTATGAGATTCAAGGGCAGAAAAAGCATAAAATTGATCAGTCTGAACACACTAAAGAGAATACTCTATGAAACCAAACTATTAGACACCAGTGAAAGACAAGGAAATTTTTTTTAATTCACATTTAAATGGAGAACAGGGAACCTGCTGGGTGGGTTGCATGAATATTTGTGGCAATCTTAATTTATCCATCAAGCATTCTAACATTGAAACTTTACTGATTTTTATCAAAATCTGTTTCATTTGATCATGCCAAAGTAGTCCACTTTTGAAATAAGCTTTGCAATGAAGCAAATTATTGTAAAATGTATTGCAGTAAAAGGCAGAATTTTAGGAACATGTACACTTACTTACAAATTTACTTTTGGAAATTGTGGTACAAAGGGATTTTAAGATTTCTTTAAAACTACAAATAAAAATAATGTTATGCTCAATAAGTAAAATATTACATAATGAGTATTTGCCCACCCTATTCCTGAGAATCATTTTCAGTGGTCCCTGGAAGCCCTCTAGGAGAGAATAGTAAAACTTCAAAATATGGTATTATTTGAGTTATTAAATGCTATAAGTAAAGCAATATATCATCCATTCATTCAGTAACTCCTTAAGGTATTTATTCTATTTTTGAAAATGAAAAAAATATCTAAAGAAGGAGAGAAAGTTATTCATAACCCTATCACTATATAATTTATATATATTTTTGGCATATTTCCATCTATTTTTCATGTTTTGTATCATAATAAAGATTATACATTTGCACATATACATACATATATAATTTTTACACTTTTCCACAGTTTTTTATATATGTTTTTAATTAAAAATTTACCCATATTTCTTAAAAAATAATCAGTTAACTATTATAGTTGGGGATTTCAATAACTGCCCTCAGCAAATGATAGAACTACTAAACACAAAACCAAAAAGAATATAGAAATATGAACAACACAATAAACTAACAGGATCTAACTGACATATATAGAACATTCCAGCCAACAAGAATAGAATACATATTTTTGTCAAATATTCATGGAAAAGTCTCTAAAATAGACCATATTCTCTAAATCAAAACAAATTTCAACCAAGTATAAAGAACCGAAATTATGTACAGCATATTCTCTGACCATAATGGACTCAAAACTTAAAACAGTACAAATAGAGAAAAAGATGACACAGAAACATACACAAAAGATATAGACAACAGAGGCAAATGCTATTATAGGCAAAATACTATATTACTGATGGCAGCAAACACTAGTCTATGGGTAAATGCATAGACAGGTGAGAAGATCAGTGTGGGTAGGTGAACAGGAACATACTCATGCCCATGTATAAATTTGGCTGATGATATTCTTACTTGTATTTGTGC